GAACGGCTTAATTATAGGTTATTGCCCTTTATCTTCAGAGGCAAGAGAGAACAATTTTTTCTCGAGAGACTTTTTCTCAGAGTCGTTATGATGTATGAGAGCCGTTGAAGTTTATCGCGAACGTTTCGATCATTTATACAACCTGTGTAAGACGAACAAGTCTAGAGGATTTCATTTATACTAATGGTTAGTAAATTGCGTTCGTTTCCATAAGGTGCCCATGAACGAGTTCGCGGTCCGGTTTCACGGTAATCCGCTGAAAACTCCTCGTATTCATCTGAATAGGCGCAGACTTTACACACCTCTCTGGAATGGGTTCTATAAATCCCTCAAATTACGCCACTCTAGTGAAACTCACGCATTTGCGTGTTCATTCGCCGTCGAACACCTGTATAGATTCACTAAATCTACATCTTAAACAGCGTAAAATCTGTTTTCATAATGTCTTAGTGTTTATTTTCAGCAGGTTGTCTTCCTACTGCCGTATGATGAAAATTCCATATTTACTTTTTCTAGAGAAAGGAAGCGGAGTGGAGTAAATTAAGGATTCAAAATGTAGTGATAAATCCCATATATCGTCATTATTCATTATTTAGAAACATTGTGTAGACTGTTTACATAGCTGTGCTCCCCGTACGCTCTGTTACGCCGTTACGCGGTTTGATCAACGAGATTTGGAGAGGTTGAGAGGTCAGCCGATATCCTATACGTGTTAGCTGTTCAGCATACACTTGCACTTCTGAAGAGCGTCCCATAACTCACTCATTATGGTAATATAATCATTATACGTTCATTGATTCATCGAGAATCTGCTAAAATCGCTAGTATTTGAGTTGATGTGGGCGTCTGCTTCATCTATAATTGGTTTAAGATCGGTTTTTGTAGACGAGATCTTTGTGACTTATTGCGCATAGGTATGGATTAATTTGGAGGCTTTCTTTTTGCGTTGTATCTTGATAATTTTTGTTGGATCCGGCTCGGTGCTTTCCAGCCTCCTCCACGACGTCTATGCTTTTTTGTCCTTTTTCAAGCAGTGACCAAAGGATCTATAGGTTTCTCTAAGGAATTTTCTTCTTGGATACTCACTATGAGCGCACATAGTAATTATGTGGTTTATTTTCATTTGGCTCAATAGTTGATCTTTAGCTCACATGCACTAGGGCATCCCAGAGTAAATCAGTGGACGAAAAAAATGAACATAACTTAAGCTCGTCCTTGTTTTAAAAGTGGCTTCATGGGGTATAAGAAGCTAAGAGTTCGTTACTTTCCTCTGATATGGTGACTTTTCTATGTAGGTTATACAGCAGGTTCATGTTGTGGAATATTCCAATACATCTTTCTAGTTCTGTTCCACGTGCAACTTAGCTGTAATGGATATTCGCTACTACGCGGGGTATAGTTAATAATTTTCGACGTCTTGATAGCTCAGTTTCTATTTTTTTTTTTTACTGATTCGAGTATTCAGCTAGCTATTATGGAGCTCCAACTGTAGCTGGAAACCTGCTGTTGTTGTAAATTTTTGCAGTTCGTTTCATTTAAATTGCAAGCGTATCACACAGCATCGTATGCATGTGATGTTATGCTGCACAATAGTGATTTGTTTGTGATCGAAAAACTTTAATGACAAGTGGATTGAGGCGGGATTTATAATTTTACAGCATGCGATATTACATTTCATATGCGAATAGGAGCGCCTGTGTTCTACGAGAGTGATCATATGGCACTTGTACAATGGTCCGTTTCTCTCAAATCTCTCTATTTAACTCATCCTAACAGCGATAAGCTTGTTCATTCATAGAGGCCGTATTGATCTGTACCGTATATATAGGACTTTTTTGTAGTCTTTTGCAGAACTTCTCAGCAGTTTCTTCCTCCCAATCCAATAGTTAGGGAATCGGAATGTGAACATTTTCCTCCCGATTCTCATAAATATAGAAGATTGACAGAAATCATTTTGTTGGCTGACATTCTTGATACTCATTTCGTCACAGTCACAGAGGCAGAAAGGGCTGGTTGTGAGCGGAGTACAAGCCGTTTTAAGTGTCGTGAACCAGTCTTTTCCCTCGACATTATCTTATAAACGAATATTTTTTTTCTGTAACTCAAGCTGTTAGAGAAAATGAAATCTATTGCTTTTTGACGTTGTTTTCTTTATCAATGAGATTATAGCATAGGTGAGTAATGGACTGGAAGAGCTACAGATGTTACGAGTTGTTGCTTTTTACTTTTTAAATCTTCTCTTCATTAATGTAGTTATAGCATAGATGAGTAACTGGATTGGAATGCTCTACAGATGTCACGAAGTATTGACTTACAGTCCAGATTTCCTACTCATTGACTGATTTTTTTCAAATGATTGCTGGAAATCTTGATAATGTGTCTTAATGTATTCGTTATGCAGAGCACTCTAATGATTGGGTTGTTCTGTTTATCTACGAGGTACTCTGGCAATCGTCACCAGCTTTTGATTATGCATAATTACTGCGGCATATTAAAGGTGTGAGTGATCGTGAGTGGGATGATCGGATTCGAATAGGGGCGTCATAACTAATTGTTGACAGTTGGTGCGATTTTAGGTAATGGGCTGTTTAAATGACTATCATTAACGTATAATATCGATCTCTGCTGTATTAGATAACTGAGGTACTGGATTGTTCCTCTATAGTTACCATTTGCAAATTCAAATAGGAGCGTTATAAGATTGAGGGAAGGGCTGATAGCGGAGTGGTTGATGATGCAGGTCATTAGAATGTAAGGTGCTAGTTCGGCCCACTCACTATCTCAGCGCCCTCTCACAAGCTCACATGGAGACGCATTAGTTAGGCTATCTCCAAGTGGAGGGAAATGCATTCGACCGTCATTCAATGGCATTCGTAAAGAAGACAAGTGGTCTAGCAGTAGTCGAAACAAATTGCAAATTGTTCGAAAACCTTTGAAAACGGTTAATCCAAGGAAATGAATTGAAGGCGAAAAGGTTGACTCCTCACGACAAGTCGTATAAATAAAAAAAAACACGTTTTAAGATTTATTACAACTAGAATGGATACATGAATAATTACTTAAATGATTAGTCGCCCCTCAAGACCTTCAATGAAAGCAACAGAAATGTTTAAGATGCACGGATATTGCTCGAAGATGTGAAGATATCACGTGTACAAACGTAACTCCGCCGTTTTTTTTCCTTGTAATAACAGTAAAACAAAAACATATGCAATCCTTTTTTGTTTGAAAATGCGTTAGAAACGCTATTTGCTTATATGTTTTCTATATAAAAAATATTTTATATGATCGTTTTTGTAGGACTTTGAATATGACGACTTTTGTCCCTGAAAAACGTTATTTTTTAAAATTTGCTAATTTGTAATTTGAATTTGCTTATTTCATGTAGTCTAATCTGACGGTGCAGTGTCGGGAGAGTAAGACTGGTAATGTAAAAAGAAAAACCTAAAGCCCACTTCAGCTCTTTTATGACGTTTTCGATTGGTTTTGCAACATGAAGTTGTGCACTATCATGCAGCAAAATTTCAAAGTTCGTGCAGTATTGATTTTTTAATGTAATTCTTGTAATGAAATTGCATGGCCTCGGTATCATTCAGTTGCGCATTTTCTTGCGGAATTTTGGTATGAAACTTACCTGTACTTGCTTTGAGATGGAGCTCGCTTCGAACTCTATCAATCTTGTGCGCCGCTTCAATAGAATTTTCCCCTACGCGCCATTTGTGCATGAGTAGCAAGCGAATTGTTCGCAAGACAGTTCTATTTTGAGGCAAGTATAGGCAAATTGTATATCAAAATCTTGGCAAGAAAATGTGCAATTGAACGATGCCAAAATCGCACAATATCATTCACTTTTTGTTGACAAATCGGCAAAGTAAATTTCGCAAAAATGGCGTTTTTCGGGCACAAAACTCGCCATCTTCAAAGTCCTGTAGGAATCATCATATAAAATATTTTGTGTGTGAAAAACATAGACGAATAGCGTTTTCAACGCACTTTGAAAGAAAAAATTTACATATCTTTATTTCCACTGTTATAAAAGCAAAAGAAAATATTTGTACACCTTGTAATAGTTCTTTCTTGCGCATTCTAATTTCCTCATTTCTTGCTCTAAGAATGTTCTTAAGGTTTACAAATTTGGCAGATTTGCTCGCGATGTCTCTCTAAAATTACACAGCTTATGATAGAAAATGCTAATTACTTAACAATTTGTTTTGTTATTGAATCGATTAGTGAATGTGAATTTTTATGGAGGAGGCGAAAAGGATATTTTTCGAAAAATTCCCGTTTCAATATACGAATCTATTAAAACATACCTCTCGAATTCGCTTCCATTAATTGGCCCTAGATGTCAATTCGTTCCTTAAAAACGACAAACATCTGTTCTTGTTTATCCGTGAGCATTTTTGCAGCATTCAAAATTTTTATAGTTTGCTCATTTAGCTTTCAATTACCTCGACAAAATATTTATTAGAATTTGTTTTAGAAAAATCTTTCAGAGTTTCGCTGAAGCTGTGATCAATTTTTTCGAATGGCTACCTGTGATAGAGTTTTTATTATGTTTTTCGTACGTATATGACAATGATGATGATGATGCCAACAGGTGGACGCGTTGCCTGCCAGCAATGCCACGTATTTCGCCATAATGGTGTTTATTTTGGCGATGACGTTGCGATTCCTATTTCATCGTGTGTCATGCGAGGATTCGTTGAAACATAGCTGAACAAGCACCTACTAATCAATACCTATTATTTCTACCAGCGCGTCACAGACGAGCGCATCACGTTCTCTGGATGAATCGTTGGCTATTTGAGGGGACTCTCACGTCATGAAGTGTTTATAGTAGCTGATGACTCTACCGTATTGTTGGATCGCTGAGATCGTTTCTCATCTTCTCACTTTAAATTACAGCTATAACTTACAATTAATAGCATTTCAATGCATTTCGCATTGTTATGATGTTTCCTATATACCTAAGAGAATTGAGTGGGGAGCAAAAACGCGGCCTCGAGCGGGGATCGAACCCGCGTTTCATCCTATCCGGGACACATGCTCTACCACTACACCACTGAGGCGCATTTGCCCGACCACTCATTCTTCAACATCTCAATGTTAGCTATAAGTCAATTCCCTATAACTTGTTTTTTTTTAATGTTTTTAATCGCCTTTCTCAATTCAAATTATCGGACCGAATAATCGTGGCGTATGTAGTCTTTAGTAGTATGTAGTATATATATCGCAGTCATTTTATTAATTTTCTAACAATCCAAAATAATTTGAAAAAAAAGAATGCATGAAGCTCAAGCGAAGTTGGTAGGCCAGGGCCATACAAGGTGTTTCGGAGGTCTCGTCCTTCTCGTCACTGACCCCATAGCCCACATTAAGCCCATGGCAAGGAGGAAGGCATATGTCGTGACGGCACAGTGGACAATGACACTGGTCCAACACCACTTTTCAGTCGATGGATCTCTGCTGTTAGACCAGAATTGATCCATAAGATCGACTTTTTCTAGGACTTCGCAATAAGCTTTCAAAATAATTTTTAAAAATTCTAATCCTCTAAATATTCTCGTGTTAAAATTCAAATTAGCCATCAGAAGCGGTATTTTAGATTTTTTAAATGCCGATTTCCTGAGCTTCGGCATTATCAATCAATAAAGGCTTCTCTAATGAGTCAGGTTATAGATGAGTTGATAAGGAGATGCATTCGGCTAACGTTTCCATGTCTTTGGTTTCTTGAAAGCCGATGACTCGAGTCGATGTCCTCGGTCGTTCTTCCGCGTTGTGAGTCTTCGTCTTCTTTTCGTTCAGTTCGACTTTTTTGGTAGAGCACCGCTCGAATGAAGAACATCATCAATCCGCTAAGTGCTTAACGAAGAAATACAGCAAACTTTTCGTCGATGTTCTTCCGAGGGCACCAACCGAATTGACATGCGACTGGACGTGATTTTGCATACTTCTCAACACTTTAGCGGTTTTCTGAGTACTCACTCTTCCTCTAGTGTGATGTAATACGTACGTAATTCATGGCTGTCTGACGCTGTCAACATTACGACTGATGACCGTAAATGTGTGAATTGAAAACGCTTACCACATTGTATGGGTTTTGTTTGCACGTCACGTCGGAGGGTTCGCGACCTGAAATTTCAATCTGGTTTCTCGACTCTCCACCATTTACATCTGTGTTGATGTACTCAGACAATGGTCGCTTGTACGTTCCTCAATCGTCCGTTGTCCATTCGTCAAACTCTATAGGTTTGTTGCAAATTGACCTTGTATTCTTATTTGTACTACACCCGTAAGCCCGGCGACATGTATTGATCAATTTTGTTTGGAAAAAAGAGCCTGCAGAAATAATCGAATAAGTGTTCCTTTTTATTCCTTTGGTCCATAAAAATCGATAGTATAGAAGTCCAAGAGCTAACGTTTATAATCGGCTTCAATTTGTCTTGTGTAATTCTCAGTTAATCGTTCAGACATAAATCATCAGCAAATTGTTTCATTCCTACTGCTATTTATGTTCTTCTTAATTCTGCCGATTCACCTTAATTTCTCTAATCTTCTGAATAATAGATCCCTCAATGCTATTGTTACCTTGTACACATACTGTACTTTTTTTGGGATAGTATTTTTTTACTTTCAAAACATTATAGGTATTTTCTATAGAATATATTCAGTTTTCAAATTTGTTTTTAACACTTTTTGATAATTTATTTTATGATACTCTCGTCATAATTTTCATATAGAAACAAATGTGCATAATGTTGTAAACCTCTTTCCGCTATTTTTATTTTCTTTACAATTGATATCACAGTTCTCAAATTAATTCAAACTTTAGCGTCTCTCACTGAGATGCTCAATCGTTTTGGTTGCTGTAGTGCGTTGTAAATTTACTTTTTTTGTTGCAGGAAAACAGCGATTCTGAATTGGATCCGGATCTCGTGGGACCACCGACGAAACGAATTCGTAGGTCGGCGGATCAGGACCTTGACGATCAATCCGAAAGGGAAGAAGAGGAATATCGGACGGCTGTTGGTAGAAAGGAGAACAGCCAAGCGAATAATAGAGTGTTGCAGAGACGGTAAGGATCACTATTGCGATTTTTAAGACCAAAAAATGAGCAAATCTGATAAATCCCTTGAGTAGGAATACTTCGGAAAATTCAAATGGACTATAGGGCTGAACGTTTGCGCTTCTCGCTTACATGCATCTCTAATTCCGTATATCTTGCCTGTTCAATGCATTTTTCCTTTTATTAGCATTGTTTGCTTACCACCATGGGAAATAATTTGTTTCCGAGTGTTTTTTTTTCTTTGGTGCTTTCACTAAAACGTTTCCAGTAGAGTTTCCATAGTTCTTCATCGACCTTACAATGGATAAAAAGTAGGGCTTTCAGCGTCGACCAATCACTGGGAGATTCTCCATGCATTTGACTCTATTCAGGCAATCATAGAGGTTATTAGATACACGCTTGTTTATATAATGTAATGACCTATTGATATATCATATTAGTGTTGCTATACTTCCAATAAATCTATAGTACTGGATTGATGCCTCTTTAGGAATTAATTCGCGCGGAGCAGGTGGAGTTGTAAGCTGTACGTGATGTACACAGTATTTTGAGTACTGCGCTGCACATTCACTCAAAAAATGTAGAAGTTGAATCAAAGTAGAAAAATTAGAGGAAAAATCCGTAACAGAGGAAACGTCGTGAGAGAGTGTATTCGAATAGTTGCAAATGTGGAATTCAAAAGTCATCCAGATTAAGTACAAACCGGAACGACAACTTAGAAATTTAACTCGTACTGATTCCTTCAAACTTGACTAGTTTGTAATAACTAAGTTGTTAATTTCTCATTTTCTCTAAAATCATCCTTGCGTGGGAGTTTCGCCAAAGCTTTTGCCTTTTTATTTTGCTTTAGAGGAATATTTATTAATTTCGTAAATATATCTTTATATGCATACGGACTCCATTCATTCACGCGTTGCACCTGTTTCAATATACTCGTTTACCACTCGCCCACAAATCCTCATTGGAGTTTTTCACCGTGTAGCAACACTCCTCGATGGTAGTCTTCATATAGTAACTATGGAAATCGACTGGTTTCCTGTGGTGATTTTGGGTTTTTTTCGTGGTCGAGCATTTTATCAATTAAGTAGTGGTGTTAACGAACACTCATTGAACTTTTATATTTTCATGTCCGACTCAGAATAATACCTTTAAGGGATTTGGGATCACCCATGTGTAGCCTTTTAATTTATCGGTTATTCCTCATCATTGTTGATCTTATAAGTCCTATTCATTGTTTTATATAACAGAGACACTTTTTTCTATCTTCAATAGGCTTTCTTTTGTTTAATTGTGGTGTTTGCTTGGTCCTCCCTTTTCGTCTAGTAAGTGTCTTCACCTGTAGTTCAGAGATGAGACGGAATGGTTCGTAAAACAACAATTTCATAAGAAAGAAAAATAGAATTCGTGCTCTTAGACTGCGAACTGGTCTCATCGAACCAATCGAGAGTAATAAGCTAGATATCCTTATTACATTTTAAAAACATCTGGCAGTTAGTGCAGTTAGTTTCGAAATGAGTCTATCTTTCGTATGTCACACTCTTCGCTTTTTTCGTCATCACATAATTCAAATAGAAAAATGGTTGAAGGTTCCAATCTCTACATTCGTATTTTTTCTTCACTAACTTAATAATTATGTTGATGTCACATAATGTTGATAGTGCTTTGACTGAGTAGATTTTTTTAATTACTACTAACTTTGCATATATGTTCTCGCATATATGTTCTCATCAGTAACCAAAATGGATCCAGATTGAACAATCCATGCCAATTACCAAATTCGTTTACCGTATTGATCTGCTGTTAATAGCTTACGTACTCTAGTCTCTTCTAAAAATCAATACGTACTTTCTCTGAACAAAAATATTCAGTAGATAACTTATGAGTGAGTTCTACGCTGAAATTGTGATTACCGAAATAATTTCCGTATAGTTTGAGAAATTTCCTTGTTTATTAAAGATGAAATCGAATATTTTCAGTGACACGGACATGTCAGTGTTTTCTGACAGATTGGCCAGTGCAATTGGAAGCAAGTGGGACTCAGGAGTGTTGGATATTGGGTATTCAAGCGGTGAGAATTCGTTGGTAGACGTGATGATCAGCGACACCGACAAGAGGTCAGTGCGTGAATTTGTGCTGCTTCACTCTTTTTGCTAACTCTTTGACGCCATTCACTTCTAACAAAGAAAGAAAAGTCAACGGAAGATATACCGTTACATTTTGATTCATTGATGAATGTCAAGAAAGTCTAATATTGATGTTGATATGATACTGTGTGAATACCGTATCTTCGGTGGAAAAGATTCCCCGTGAAAGAGAACCTTTGAAGGATTTATGCGCATTTGAATTAGAAAGACCCATTATAAAAGTATATGATCTCAATGAGTGAAATTTATTTCATTCATCGAGCTGTGTGACTGCTAAGATGATCAATGATGTCAATCAAAGGCATAGAAAATAAATTTTAGAAAGGTAATAATTGTAAAGCGACAGAAGAGTATAAGAGAATCAAAATCGGTGTACAGCTGACCTAAGAATATTTCATGCCTTTGGTTTTTTATTAGGTCGTTCCATAAGCTTTTACACTGGGGCAATAAGCACCGAATTCATTAGAATGAATTGATTAAAATTACAGATTTTGATATCCTTGAAATGTGCATTCCCTTGCGAATATTTTGGTGTACAACTTGCCTATGCTTACTTCGAGATGGAGCTACGAATGGCGCATAGCGAAAAATGCTAGCGAAACGGCGCTCAAGATTAATGGAGCTTTCTGTATACGGCTCGAGCGCGGCTGATCCTCCAGACTGTTCTACCCAGCTTTGAACTTCGTGAACCACTTCCTAGCCGTCCTTTCTGCAACCTTATCATCGCCCCCCAAACTCCACTAATCTCGCGCGCCGCTTCACTAGCATTTTCCGCTACGTGCCATCCGCTGTTCGTACATGAGCGGCAAGCGAATCTGTTTCAAAAACTGCTCCATCTCAAAATAAGGTTAGGCAAGTTGTATACCAAAATGTTTACAAGAAAATACACAATTGAACGAGATCAAAATCATGCGATTTTAATCACTTCTGGATAATAAATTTGGTGTTTATTGCTCTAGTGCCAAAATTGATGGAAGTGCCTAATATAAAGAATATCACAGGTTTAGCAGATTCCTGCTCATTTATTTCGACACTTAGACGACCTGTCTTGACGAGTTATGTGGATTGCAACACATTTTTCATTCGTTCCTTTTCCTCGAAATCATTGTTCATGGGTGACGGTTAAATATTCAGCGACGAGGTGGCTTCTATAGGCCACCTATTTGAAGTGCTTTTTTTTTGGTGTTCAAAATTCCTCTACTGTAATGCTCGTAATCACGATAGCTTGACACATGTAGGTACCTCTACAGAGTTTATTCTGTTGTTTTTTGGAATGAGGTTCGTTTCAAATAAATAGGTGAGAAATCATTGAGAGAACAGCTTTTCGTGGGCCATTGTGGTTCCATCTGCATTTGACTAGATATCATTTTATTACAAAAAGTTATGGAAGAATTCCGTGCACAAAAAGCCTTTGGAAACATATCCTTGCTCCAAAAGCTCGATAACAGCTCTTAACAGAGGGCAATCGTTGACTGGGCTGAATGCGCAGGGGCCCAGTCCTGCTGAAGCGTAAATGCATCGGCGCTAAAATGTCGAGTACTTCAAGGCTCCAGTACGACCCGTAAAACTTGTTGTTAATAGGTGGCAGCGTTTATTTTCACCTTTCCGTTGATGAAGACCAGCGGCGTCTCTTTGGGTGGCGCAATTGCCGGTCCAGACCATCATTAGAGGCCAGAAAATGACTGCGGCCCATGGCTTTTGCTACTTCGGTCATCTGCTGACCCTTGTTGAGAAGTTGGCGTCGGTTCTGACGATTGTGGAATGGTCCGACTGGGAATGTTTTATCATCCGTAAAAAGCACCTTCGACAACGGAGCACCAGGTGTTAGACGAATTACTCGGCGAACCTTAAAAAGCCACATTTCTTTTGTATCCTGTAGCTGTGCAGCTTCATTTTATTTTTAACAATGTTTGGGACGCTCCGCTCATTGGTCCTGAGCTTCCCGAGCTGTTTTCGCATCGAACGCTGCGCATATCGTTGAAATTAGTAACGGATCTTGTGAATGTTTTCTCGAGTAGACGAAGTGGACGAACGACCTTTTCGAGGACGGTCCTCAACCCTTCCAGTCTCTCTGAAACGTTTCACGGCTCTGTAGACTCTTGCTGGTTTGAAGCCAGTCTATTCTAATAATGCCGGCTATTGTCATTCCCGTCTTGTGCACTCAACAAGTGCAACACATTGGTTTTTACGACCCATGACTTTACCACAACTCAAAATAGACAAATAAACAAAACGGATGCTAGTCCGAAATTAAACGAAGAATTCAATAAATTATCAGAATTAACAAAGAAATGGTTATATCATCACTAAAATTTAACAAATTACAAAATTGACAGAACTTTTTCAGCAACCTGAATATGCACATGTACAGGTTGCTGAAAAAATTTATGCATACATAGGAATGTGCGTATATTATATACATATATACATATACGTATACACATACATATGTATATATCTGTATATGATCTTTAGTTATCATTGCATATTTCTTCCAATATCTTGTCTCTTGATTACTTGCAGCACAAACGCTAACAAACTTCGTCCAAAGCAAAGAAAACTTGTAAACGATCAGGTTGATAATCAATCAGAATGCATTTTATTTGGCCGCCTATTGCGGTGGTATGATGTTATAATAAACCCAACAATGTAGAGTGGTGTGCAAAAGCATTTGCGTCAGCTGGGATTCGAACCCAGATTTCACGCTATCCGGAGGCGCGTGCTGAATCGCTGTTACCGACGCCCGTTTTGACATACTAAGAGGGCATTCATTCACGAACAAGGCATGCTAGGACATCCCCAAATTATAAGTTATCGATTGATAACGGGAGCTCTAGGGAAAAAAGCTTGCACCAACTTAAATCATAAGAAAAAGTAAGTTTTCTGTAGGAGCCGCTTCGTCGTCTAAGTGTTTAAGCATGACGTCTGGTGCAAGTCTCACGCAGTAATTTTTGACACATCAGCACCGGCTGGTACAGCTGGTTGATTGTAGTTACGAACATAACTGCAAAGTAAATTCAAGAAAACTTTGTTCAAACGTTGTGTGAGTTTTGTGCAGTATTGCTGACGTGATCAGTGTCAGCCCCACGCTTGTGCTGCATAGCAGATCTCTTGAAGTCTGTTGTATTGAAAAAGTGAACGTATACTCTGGGTCTCTTAGTTGCCCGATCGGTTCCTAAGAGGCACGTAAGCGGCCCACGTCGCTCTCCTTGTGTCAAGTCGTCTATGTTGTTCTCTATAGTAAATAAACGCGTAAGATGCACATACGACGAGTGTTTTCTGTGATCAGAGAACCTCATGATTCTGATTTGCATATCACTGCATCATAGATTTCTCATAAACTAGGTCTCTTTTCGTTTAGGCAAATATTGGTTTCTAGTATTGAGTGTGACTGTACTAAAACCGACTTCTTGCAGTGCATTTTTAAGGCAAAGATAACAATATACTTTACTACGTGAATGGCTCATTTTCACGAAAAAGCATGTGTCATACATCTGACTTCCTTGAGCATCGTTAGCGGTGACTCAAGACATATCTGGTCTCTACAATAACTCGCGAAGACCTATTAATGTATCAAGTCATTGCTGTTATCCTAAGTCTAGTACCAGTTTCACGACCACGTAGGCATGGAAGGCTTGGTGAGTTTGGAACGCATAATTGAACCACCAACTACGTAGTCTCGCTGGGCACCTCCAATCCAATTAAGACCATGGCAAGGGATCACGCTCTTGGCTCACCAAGCCATCCATCCATCCGGGGTCGGTAAATTGGTATCAGACAGGACGCACACGTGTCTGGGAGGATAAGCAGCACTGACTCGATTCAACTGGAGGTCACCGCGAGTCATTGTAAAGGCCAAATAGACATTCAATCACCTCAAACGAAGTTAAAATCGAAGAAGAATGCATGGCGCATCCCTCAGGGATTGATCAACGCCAATAGCTTTATCCTATATCCTTTAAGGGATCACACGAAATAAACGCATAGTCTATGGTTAAGCGCTGTTTGGATCAGTTAGGCCCAGCATTCTTCCTGGTTTGGTAGACTTTGCAAGTCTTATACACCAGATTTGCATTCAACCGTCGTTCAGATATCTCAATTAGAGTCAAGTGCATGCCTTTTAGAGAGTTGGATGAACTATTAAGTTTTTCCAAACATAATGCTGAATGGAGTTAAGTAGATTCTGTACATTACCGGAACCCTCGCCTTGGAAAAAGGGACTGACGATAATCGTTTTGAGCAATACCCATGATCGGCCGAAAATTTTCTAACATTATATAGATCTTTGTTCCTGATTTATATAAGACAGTTAGATGTCGGCTTTGATATCAAGCTGAGTGGACAATATGCTTTTGGTTTCTCTACTACCCTCGCTCCCAGAGCTCGATATTCTTGCGCATCCATTCAGTACTACTACATCCTCCTCCCCTTTTCCGCTCGTCACGTTTATACGATCTCTAGTGCACCTGAACTTCAACGTTTTTTTAGACCGCTGAAAAAACTACATTTTCTTTCCGTTTCGCCTGTTCTTTTCGTGCCATATGGCCGTAGTGTCGGTCGTCCAGTCGTCATTTTCGTCCGTATGTACAACTGGCCGATTTCACACAGCTGAATTGAATGACCACGTTTCTCGTTGTTCGTTAACTACACAGTGACAGTTGAACGTGCGCACATTCGCGCGCAATGTGATAGTATCACGACTATTGATTCATTCATTCTTGAGTAATATCACTTTTTTCTCATTTACAAGGTTTGGTGGTAAGAGATCGAATTATGACACGCAAATCTTGGTGCAAATGTCGATGCTTCACTCGTTCTTTCTGTATTTTTCTAATTTATCTTCTTACTTCACACGAACGGTTATCACAATCTACTGTGCGCATTCCAGCATTTCTTGCAGTAGATTCGTCTCCTCGCACTCATCTTCCATAAAGGTGTTTGCGTATTACACCACATTGCTTCGGCTGCTGCTTGAGGTCTTCGTCTTCTCCGTGATGTCCCAGAATGCTGGTCGATCCGACTCTCCTTGAATTTATGGAGTTAGCCGAGCTAAAGCGTGTCCTAATGTGTTCGTTGGTTAGTTGTAAGAGTGTGTTGTACAAGAATCCGAATCAGCGCTTTCATCATCACTTTCTCATAGACCACGGCACTAGCCACTACGCTACACCGCACCCTTATTTGTATTCAAGGTACCGAAATGAGTATTTGGATAATGTGGTTTCATTTTGGGTACACTCATTTTTCTTGCATGATGGTTGTGTAATTCTATCGACACTTTGCTTAGATAAATATCAATCGCTTAGTTGGTTCGAGTTGTTTCGCATAAGTAATTGAATAGCCTAGCTGGTCCGAATTGTGTCAATTGACTTTTAATGTCCTTTTCCTCAATTATCGCACTTTTTTCCAATTGATTTCAACTTAAACGTGGCACAAATGATTTACGAATGATCTTGCTTCATTATCGTGCTAACGAGAGGCTGCTGTGAGGGTCCTTCTTGGGCCGACTTTTTCTGCCCTTTCGTCTTCGAAGCCACAGTGATTCGAGGATCCAGTGAAGTGGTGTATCTGCTCGAACGAAATGATCTCATTGAGATGAACATTTTGTCATCCTCCTTTGTGTAATGAAAACGGTCCTCTATGACTTTTATTCAAGAATAAATGGTTGTGGACAATAGACTCGATTTATTCAGTCATTTCTCAGGTGAAAACGGAGAAACGTTAATCAAATGAAACTCAAAACAATAGCCTTGTGTTTGCTTATAAATCAAAGAAGATCTTTTCAATCCTCAAACAGCAAGTCCTTATGTATTATGACGCAATACTGAATAAATCAGTGAGATAAACTGTTTTGGCGATGCGCATCATGTATAAAAAATAGTACTGAGTTAGTTGTTTTATACGAGAAGTCATGAACCAGAAGAAACCAGAAATTTGGTGATGATAGATCAGAAGTGGGTGAGATATATACAGTTGCCTTGCAATCACAGTACGAGGAGCGGTATAGGGCGATTCATTTTTTTTTTTAATCAAATGGAAAACTGAGAATGCCAGTTGCTCAGATGCTCATGTGGATTATCGTTCTCTTCTGTGAATCACTATTTTGACTATCTTTAGTCCTACAAAGTTAACAGCTGCACAATCGATAATCGAATGTTTCATGATTTTCTGTGTAGCTCTAAACATTAGAGATCACGACTATAATGAAGCCTTCTTTTATTAAGTTTCAATTATTCTCAGTTCACGTAATGGACGGCAAATACAACCGATCTATAAATTGCATTACCAGAATAAGTAGTGCGACTAAAATCTGTATGCAAAATGGTGACTACTGCGAATTTTGCTTCCAATAAGTATCAGATCGGAATTACTATCAATTTTTGCATAGAAATCAAGCTAGAGGTATTTTGTTATGTGGAGCAGCGTTTATTTTGTGAAAAACACCTTTTAGGTCTTTTTTAGACAAGGTCAGTGCAGTTGTGAAAACGAGTTTTTTAACTTATGAAATATAAGAGTTGTGAATTTCATTATACGTTTTAGTATGTAATGTCAATACACGATAGTGTTTTTCGTTTATCATTTCTTAGCATTAAATGTCTCCTCACTTCAGTGCTGCTGAGATTCACACGATGATGGAAAAGCGAGCGCAAACGAACGTGGCTCCTCCAAGGTTCCAAGCGACAATTACTTGCGAAGAAGTTCGTTCAAATTTCGAAATTATAAAAAAAGTTCACTTCATAAATATTATCCATTCTGTGTCAAAGTACATCAGCTAATTCGGTTTAAGATTTCTGGCGTTATAAATATGAATATTGATTACTTTGCGACATCGTTCAATATATATGTTTACTACTGCGACAAATTATGCATTTTCGTGGTACTTCTATCGTAGAACATGTCTTAGAAATCCCAAAGACCTAGTCTTCTCTGTTTTTTTTTGAGAATTATTGTATTTCTATTAGAACAATAATTAAGGGAACATGATTCGCTGCCTAAAAGATAATCGAAAATACTAATGCAATATCTACTATACTATTACTTATATTGCTGCCTATTCTTCTTTTCACACCAAAGTTTGATGTGAAATACAAGTTCAAGAATGGAGCCATACTAGAAAAAACTTGCAACTTCATGGACTGAATACAGACTTAAAATATTGGATTCACAAAAAATTAAGCGCGATTCATTGTTATCAGTAAACCCACAATTTCCAAACGACGGCGAAAGCAATCCTCGTTTTTTTTCCAGTTTCATTCGTTCTCGTTTCAGCCGACTCATGAAGGTTTTACTGATGTCGAACGTAATCCACTCACCGACTCCATGCATGTAAACTATGAAGCGGTCAACGGAAACTGCCCGGAATACGGTATGCCGTCCTCTAATTTAACTTAGAACTGATTCGAAAGCAACTCTTTTGACACGGAACACAATTTTGAGGAGGTTTGATGTGAGTGAAGATGATGAGGGTACAGAGTAGCGTCCTTTGTTAATGAGACGGTGTATCAGGAAGCAAGGTGATAAGCAAAGCTTTGGTGCGATCCCGTCCTTCAGCGCCCTTACAACCTAGCATCGACGCCTTGGTAAGCGCCTTAGCTCAACTACCTTCAAGTTTGCAAGAAGAATCCTTTCGACCAGCATCTTGAAGACTTTCGTAGAACAAACGAATTCTTCAAGTTTCAAAAGGCTGTGCAGCAGTGAAGTAGCAACTTGTGAAAAATCCTGAGACGTTTGTGGAGGGTGAAAGCA